ATGTTTTTCTTCAGAAGTTAATGTTGATGTACCAAAGGCAGCAGTACAGAAGTGTTCTTAATGTGCTCTCTGCTAGTTTATTTAAGAATCCCAACAAACAAACACCAAACAACCTCTCCAAAAAAGACCCCTCCTCACACCCACACCCCCTCCCCCCCCCCAAAAAATGACCCTTTTTCTTGGAGATTATTTGGAATTTATGAAGAAATAGTTTGGGTCACCACACTTTTTATTCAGTACCAAGTTTAAAAATACAGTCTGTAAATGACAATAACCAATGAGTCCGAAAGAGCTGAAGGATTTTAGTCTAATATTAGCCCAGATATTTCCTGGGCTGCTCAGGGCAGTGACTTGCTGGATGCTAATGCGGATAAAATGAGAAATTGTCCACGTAAGCACTGCCCAGTAACTCAGCCCGGGGCGTGTGTGACAGGTTCTTTGACTTGTGTCCCTTTGCAGCCCAGGAACACTTGCTGAGGCTGTAGAATGGTGCTGGCTGTGAAGTGGTGTTTGCTGGTGCTGCCAAAGCAGTGTCCCCTCGGAATCCTCGGCATATCCCGTGTTGCTGGCGAGCACGTGAGGGAGGTGGCTCAGTTGTTGGTGCTGGTGCCTCCGTGGTGTTCTGTCCACACAGCTGTGCCTCCAGCAGCTGCTTGGGGATGAGTTTCACGAGCTGTGCTTACAGATTTAATTTGGAAAGTGATCCTAGCACAACTGCTAATGTCTTTAGACTCCTTGATTTATTAGGGGTTAACTCTGTCAGTGCTGGCGGGCACTGAGCGCAGCTACAGCCAGGCATGAATGAGAGGGGCCAGCACGGTGTCCTCCTGGAAAGGGACTCCCATGTGCCAGTGTTTGTTTGCTCAGGGACACGGTGTCAGAGCCATATTCTCACAGAATATGTGGCCTCACGAGTTAAGTAGTTGTCCCGTGTGCTGGAGAACAATTTCTCAGTTATTTTAGAGCATGTTTTAATCGAGTCTCTTGAAACTTCCATTCAGAATAAGCTCAAGTACATCTAAGAATATGATGTACATCTGCAAGTGTTTTTTGCACTCTCATAGTAGAAACCCAACAATCCCCACCTCCCAAGCCCCACTGTTGTCACAAACATAAGTTTAAATGAATATAATTATCACTAATTACCTTTTTATTTTCTTCCAGGATAAAGTGGCCAATATTTGGTGCAGTCTAAGTGTCCTTATAAAGATAAAGAATGTAGTATCACCTCAAACTCAGCTCAAACTCAGGTAAGACATAACTTTAGTGCTTTAGGTAGTTTTTATCTGCGTTATTTTTTGCAAAAGGAGTGAATTTTCTCAAAGAACTATGAGAAGTTGTGTTTAAAATATTGAAAATACATTTTCTTTCCTATGCTGTACTTTTCTCCCGAGTGATGAGGGCTTCCCCAAGTGCTGTTAGGAACTGAAAAATTCCCTGCTTGTCCATATAGTGATTTAAGCTGCCTGGTTAAAACAGTTAAAATTTGCAAATTCAAAGGATTACCCCTTTTAGTGCTCTTAGAAGTCAGAGCTCACAGGTCTGTTTCTCAACTAAGTGAAGAATTCAGGTCTAGGCCTGCAGAGTGAAGTACTAATGGATGTAGTTGCTGATATATTTAAACTGTTTTTCTTACAAAACTCTCCAGTTTTGCTGTGACATTCCTGAGCCTGCTTCCTGCCTGTATCAAACTCACTGTCCAGCCTTCCCTCAGAGGGTTTAAATTTGCTTTGGTAAGTGTTTGTTTGTAATTGCTCCTTGTTTTCATCCACCCCTCAGCACTGGGGTGTGACCAGCACTCCAACAGCAGTTGCTGCAGAGCACAGAGGGGTGTGTGCCATGAAATGCTGAAGGAATTGGTTAAAAAGGGCTTTACTTTCATGTGTCCAGGGGGTCTGACCTGTCTTTTAAACCCAGACTTTTTACTTTAGCCTCAATTTTCTTTGTTTAATGTTGTATTTTATCAACTTCCTCCAAAGAGCCTTCAGAAGATTCCATACACATTAAAGCCTCATACAGAGTTGGGATTTCTCCTCTTTTTGTTTAGCTACCAAAGTGTTAGTTTTTCTTATTGCATCGGCTGCAAAATTCAATTAAAAAGTTCCCAAATGGACACTGTGAGCTCATTAGTGGTTTGAAAATAAAATGATCCTGTTATCCCAAATGTTTGCCTTTCCTTAGTCATACCATTGAATTGAAGCACATTGCCATGACTTATGCAAAAATCAAAAATTACATGGAGCTGGTTCTAAAGTTTCGAGAGGTACAAGATAATTTCTGTTTTTGATTTATGTGAGCGATGTTTGAGAGTATATCACAACACTGCCTAGAAGTCACACTTTCTAAGATTTAGTTGATGTTTTCAGTGTGTTTTTTATTTGGTGGGAGCAAAAACAAATCCAAACCAGTTTATTTACTCCGGTGTATTAACTGTTCATGATGAGGAGCAAATTTTTATGTCAAAAGGGTGGGCAATTCTTACCATGACTGAGGTTTTCCAGTGCCTGTGTGGGTGAACATTGTGTTTCCTTGGTGGAGATGTTCTTGGTGAAGCTGAGCAGGAGTGAGAGCTCTGAAGGAAGTGCTTTCTTACTAATCCTGGTCAACTTTCAAACCAAGTGTTTTCACCCACGTGTGGGTGGTTCCAGGAGCTGCTCTGGTGCCTGTAAATGGCACTGGAGGAAATATAGCAGTTAATTAGAAAACTCAGATCACTGAGCTCCTGCCTCCATGTGGAGTCTGTGCCAGAGACACTAAAGCAGAGCTTTGCATTGCAGTCACACACACTAATCCAGCTCTGATCTCCTTTCCTAAGGTTAGTTGTGCCCTGTCATTTTTCCTGTTCTCCTTTCAAGTCCATGAAAAATCCATTCTTCTGGTGGCAGTGTAAGTAAATTATATTCCTGTGGATATATTTTGATCTTTTCCTCGAGCTCTTATTGCATGCTGCTCTTTAACCTACAAATATGTTGAATTTTAAACACTCTGCACATTTGCTTTTCTGAATAACCTGGAAATGAAGGTGTGAAGTACAGCCTGGCTGGTCTGTCCTGTGTCACTCTGGCTGAGGGAACAGTCACCGGTGCTGCTGTTCCATGTGCATGTCCCACATGGACCTGGAAGGGGTGTTTGACAAGGGAAGATCTGATCCCTGGTTTTCCTCTTTTCGTTCTAGCCCAGTTTGCTTAATCATAAATGAAATCCCCTTTATGGCCACGTGGTTTTTACTCGTATCAACTTTCAGGTGAGTTGGAAACTATTAACATGGTTGGAGAGGGAGTTTGGACAAGGGATGGAGGGACAGGACAAGGGGGAATGGCTTCCCACTTGGGTTAGATGGGATACTGGGGAGAAATTCTTCCCTATGAGGGTGGTTAGGCCCTGGCACGGGTTGCCCAGAGAAGTGTCCAAGGCCAGGTTGAAGCAGCTTGGGATAGTGGAAGGTGTCCCTGCCCGTGGCAGGCGGGTGGAACAAGATGAGCTTTAAGGTCCCTCCCAACCCAAAACCATTCTATGATTCTCTGAACACCATGTTCTTCCCCAATTCCTGTAAGGCTAAATGTATTTATTGGTTTTCCTCTTCTCATTCTTTGGAACACCTCTGGATCTGTGCCCTCACGCTGGGATGATCCTGCTCCCAGCATGTTGCCTCTCCTACTGAGGGACGGGCTGCTCCTGCCCTATGCCGTGACCATGCCGGCATTCCTGGCCACCTGCCTGGCCTCCTTCTCCATCCTGGACAAGACCTCAGCAGAGGACCTGCAGCTCAAAGCATTCTCCCTTTCCCTGAAGGGATATGTGTCTTGGTTTAAGTCCTTTCCCAGGATTGTCAGGATTCTGGTAAGCGATTTAATTGCTGTAACTCTGAGTTGCAGCACAGAAGTGTCAGTGGAGGGGGGGCTGTAACAGAGCACCCAAACAATGCAGTAACAGCTCACCTGTTTGAGGTGTTACACCTAATCCATCATTCCTTATCTTCCAGTTCCTCCTTTCCCTGTCCCTGATGGGTGTGCTGTCTCTCCTGAGTGCCGCAGTGCCTCCTCCCCAGAGCCTCCCGGATTTATTCCCCATATCCGTGTCCATTGTTTCCTGCTTACACTTCTTATTATTTCTGGTGTATTTTAATGTTGTGATACTCTGGGACTCCAAGAATAGCAAAAGCCAGAAGAAAATCAGTTAATCTACCTGTGGAGCTCCAGGACTGAACTGTGCAGGACAGAGTGTGTTTGGTGAGTGCTGTCAGCGCTGCAGGGGAACCTGTTTGGGATGGACACAACTGCTGGAACCCAGGGAAAGTCAGGAAACACGTTTGGCTTATTCAAACACAAACCAATCAAAGACTGTTTCAAAGGAGAAGTCTGTTGAAGAGCATTGGAAATATGATTTGGTGTGTTTTCTTCAGAGGTGTCATACTTTTGTTACCATTTGTAAACCTAAAATGCCTAATAAAGGACCAAATTTTGAATTAATGCTAAAATACCCTGTATTTGCTGTATTAGCAAAAGTAGCATTGAGTTTGTTCCTTTCCCAGCATAAAAAGCATAAGGAAGTCATGCAGGTAAAGTCAAAACGCTGGACCGGCAGCTCTGAATTGGTGTTGCTGAATTGTTTTGTGACACAAACTTTCCTCCACTGTGACATTTCTTCCTTCACTGTTGGTCAGCAGCTCTGCTTTAAGTGGTTTTAACACCTCTGCAGTCTTAGGACTCAACTGCTCTCTCTTCAACAGGACTGAAAAGCCAAACCCTCTTGTTTCTCCTGCTGTAAAAGCTGAGGTGCTGCAGTGCAGTTGGAAACCAGGTATGAGGGGGGAAAAAACCCCAAAACCCACAACAACCCCCCTCCTTGCACAGCAATTTGCAGACGTAAACTGAACTCAACTCTGCAATTTCTCCCTGGGTGCAGCACAGCCTCCACTGCCAATAATTCAGAGAATGCATATTGATTGAGTAATTATAAACATAACAAAGCATGGAGGAAGAAAATAAATCATAAAGCAATTTAGGGTTGTATGGTTTAATTAGAAATCAGTCTATGTTTTTCTTCTGTATCTATGTATGTATATATATTAAAAATAAGCCCCCCCATCCTTGTTGAGAGGCTTCCCCCTGCCCTGGCTGTGCTGTCACATTCCAGCCTGTCACTGCCATTAGTGTCAGTGTGTGAATCAGCTGTTCTGGGAACTTCCAACTGTGTCAGTTATGAGCCCTGTCAATGGAGTGGCTCCGAGCTGAGTGTATTTATGCAGTTTTTCCAGCCTTATTTGTTGTGGAAAAAGTACCCAGAGCCAACACTGTGCTCCTGGCAGCTCCAACAGAGTGGAAACGGTGCTCTGGAGTAGTAACTGAGGATATGGGGGGTGAGCACAGTTCAGCAAATTCTTACAAACCAACAAACTTCAATATTTTCACAAGTATTCAGAATTTTCTGTGGGGGTGACTGCAACTCACAGCACAGCCTTTCTTTTTGGAAGTGTAGGCCGGGTGGCATTGATGCGTATCAGGACACAAAAATAGGAATCTTTGTCTCCAGAGGCTGTGAAATCCCAAACCCACCATGCTCCCCCCCAGCAGGGCTGGGGGAAAGGCTGCCTGAAGTTTGTCAGCCTTGGAGGTCTCTAAGGTGACAAGGAAAATGAAGGTGGAGGGAAGCAGAAGCAGTTCAGGGTTTAATGAGCCTGGTCTGTGTGTCCAGCAGGAGCCCAGGCCTGTCCTTCCCCCCATAGCCAAACATTAGTTTTGAGTGTATCCCTTTTCTTTGTCCTTGAGGTGGCCTCGGGGGGTGATAAAGTGAGAGTCACCCGATCCACCTTGTGTGGAACTGGAAATGGTTCTTAACAGCCCCAGCTGTTTCAGAGGCAAGAGCTGGTACAGCAGGAGGTCAGAGCCACAGTAACTGCCTAAATAGCTGAGGCATGTGAGCGGGGCATGTGCAGCACAGTCTTCATGTACAGCTTTATTTCCCTAAAAAATGACTAAATACCAGATTTAGTAATTGCCATGGTGTAAGTTATGCTGTAACTCATTGCCCATCACCACCTTCACTGGTATTTCCTGTACAAGTTTTATGTTCTCCCAAGACTGCCCATAACAGCTTGATTTAGACCAGCACAGTCAGTTCCAGGCTCTTCTCAGATCAATAATTATTTAATTTCCAGCTCCAGAGGTTACAGTCAGGTTACATAAACTCTCGCTGGTTCAGAGCAACGGGCCGGTGCCCCTTACACACAGAACAACAACCCACAGCTCTGAGAGCCTGACAGACTGGTGTGGAAGGGAGAAAAACTGTCCCAATTCCCTTCCACCAGTTACTAATGTTTTTCCCAGTTGGACTGCACAGGTAGCGAGGTGCAAAAACATTTTTATTAACTAAAAACTCCCAAAGCTTGAGCGTGTGGAACATGTTCATCATTTTAGTGCCTGAGTTTTAGTCATAAAAATCAGTTTATTTCAGGAGCTGGACTTTGCAGGAGTAAAAAGGACATTCAAGTGGGTGTTTATGTTGAACTTAAGAAAGTATAGATCATTGTACTGCACTCTTCCAACCTAATGAAAGGATTTGGGATACTGGGGATTCCCTAGGTTGGAGGGGTGGAAAAAAGAGAAGCAGCTAGTTTATATAAAACAACTCTGCTCTTACATCATTAAATACCAAAACTAAACTAAAATGTTGACCTAAAAAGCAAATGTTCCCAGAGCATGTATGTTAATGCTGGGTTTGAAGCTGAGGCCTTGGCTTGGGTTGAGTTTAGAGGAAAGCTGGTTGTGGATGACATCCCCAAGTGTGGCAGCACCAACAGGAAAAGTGTTTCTCAACAGCTGAAACACGGAATAATTCCTTGCACTGCAAAACTTCCTCTGGCTTTAGAGCCCACCCCGTGTTAGAAAAGAACCTGCAGAACCTACAGTTTATTTCCCAGGCGGCAGCAGCAGCCCCAGCTCCCAGCATGGTGGATTATTTCCATTGGGATGATGTGGTTGTGCACATTGTTCAGTTTAAATGGACGCCAGGAATGTTATGTGACTGCACCTGCCTGGGCAGCGACGCTCCCGCACCGGGACTGGGGGGAGATTGGTTTACACTCAGTTCTTCGCTCCTTTTAAGTCCAGTCCAGCAGATGTAGAAGTTTGGGGTGATGTGGAATGCATTTTTCACATAATGCCTGTGGGGAGATGAGGAATGGCTAAAATAAATAGCAATTAGACAACAGCATCATCACTCAGGGGATGTGTTTGGAGGCTCAGGGCTGTCTGATGTCCAGGACAAACCTCACTGTGTGAGAAACACACACACACAGCCCCACGCAATGCAGAGCAGCAGCTGCTCTGCCCTGGACTGCAGGAACATTTTAGGATGGTTTAAGGACATTCTGTAGAAAAAGTTGAGGAATAATTGCTAAAAGATCATTTAGCCACCACAATTGTGTTTTTTTAAGCAATAAGAAATGGCCTTACAGTGCTGGTCACTCATGGAAGGGATAAGAAGTACCAGGAAATTGTCATTTTTTGGGCATGAGGTGCAAAGCCTTATGCAAATACTCACTGACTACACTCTGCTGTCCATGGACATAAACTCACAGTAGACCTGAGTACTTTGAGCCAGCTGTGAACTGAAACCTTGGAGTTGCCAGCATGACTTTACTACAAGCTGATAACCCAATGTAAGACTTAACTGTATCATGGAAAGGCCACTCAGCATCTGCAGGATTCAGGAATTATGCTGACTGGAAAAAAGGAGGATGCTGGCTCTGCTCTCCTGGGCTGGGGATGCCATCCCTTGAGGACTCTGCCTTGGGAGTGGGAACTGGCTCGGAAGGAGTACAAAAGTCTGGCATAAGCAGCCAGGAAGCAGTAGTGTAATGGTAGATTGTGGTCAAGCAGGGTTTAGAAGGCTTTTTGCTATTCAGTTACTTACGGCTGATTACAAAGTAAAATGGAACCTTCATTGAAGAGCCAAATGCAGGTGTGTGAGCTCAGCCCTGCCCTATGGCCATACAGCGCCTCCGTGCTCCTCAGTTATGGGAATTAGACTTCAGCTTCCCAAAGAGAAATATTCTCACACTGTTCAGGAATTGAGATCATCTGTGGGTATTCTCATCTTTAGACTTCATGAAACCAGTTTTCTCCTGCTCAGGTAACACACGATGACAGACAAGGTCTGTCACTACCTGGGCTTTTCCCTCACAAGGACAAGGAGCCAAAGGAGGAACAAACTGATCCCCTTGGGCTCTTGAGCTGTGCCTGCAGGACATCCCAGAGCCCTCTGGAAATGCTTTACAACAAGTACCTGTATCCTGGTTACATTCCTGGTCTCTGGGCCAGTGCCTGGGTGCTGGGGAGGGCAGAGAGCAGGCCCAGGGGCTCCTTGCTTTGTTCCAGGAGTGAGTTCAGGAACTCGGTGCTCCCAACAGTTTGGATGTACCCTGAGGAGGGGAAACGAATATAAACATGATGTGTGATAAACAGGGGTGTTATGGCAGAATGTGTGACAATCCCTCCCCAGTACAAGTTAAATAAGTTGCTGCAGTGGTTAAAACCCAGGAGCCCTTTTCCTTGGAGTCTCAGTTATGGGGTCTCATCCACTCAGCCCTTGTGAGTGGATGTGCAAGTGTTACATTACCAAAGCAGAACAGAATGTGCTACAAGTGTCAGAAGCTGGTGCTTCTTTTTTGCTATTAATAATAAAAGAATAAATAAAAATGCATCAGGACCATATTCAGCAGAACCCAACCAAGGACTCCATGAGAGGAACAACCATCCCTGGAGGCCCCCGCACCTGAGCCCCCCAGCCGAGGAGGGCAGGGCAGGATGAGGGCAGAGCAGGTGGCTGGGAGAAGGAGAGGAGAAGAGTGCAAGGGCAGAAAGGAACTCAGGGAATGAGAACATGCGTGGAAAGGGTCTGGAAGCAGGTGCATCTGAGTGCCAAGGCTGCCAAATGGTCCTGCAGCAGATGAGCAGCTCTGCCCCCAGGACCCCGAGTGTCACGAGGAGCTTTGATTCCACCACCACCGAGGGTGAGGAGAGAATTCAGAACTGTAATAAACACACCAAGAAGAACAGACAGGTGTTCAGAGCAGCTTACAATGCACAGAAACTCAGCTGGGGAGGGGCACCAAACCCCCCCAGCCACGGGGTGCTGGGGAAGGTTCTCCTCAGTTCTCCCCACACAGTTCCAGGACATGATGTAACACCAAGACCTGCCCATGGATCAGATTTGAGGTGCTGGCAACGTCACCAGCAGCTGACCCAGACCAAGCCCAGGCTCTGTCCTAAGCCAGGTCTCACACTCCATAAAAAGGCATCCAATCCAACTCGGCCTCAGGTCCCACTTCCGGCATTATTCCTGATAACCACCACTTGTTCACACAAATTATCAACAAAACCACACCACAACTGCTTCCAGCAGGAAACTGTCCAGTCTTGTATGACAAGGAACAGAAAAAAATAACAGACTGAATTATGAGCTGGTTTACTTGTACTAAATGCAATTCCTAACTCAGTCTTTATGGAACTGATTTCCCTTCAACCATGGATTGCAGCATTTGGACTGTGCAGCACGTGGAGAACCCAAACACGCCACAGCCACCACACTGAGCTGTCCTAAAAAATACAAGCTGCCCAGATTCACATAAAACATCATGAACTCAGCTTTTTTTTCAAACACAGAATCCCAGAATGGGTTGGGTTGGAAGGGACCTCAAAGGCCATCCAGTTCCACCCCCTGCCATGGGCAGGGACACCTTCCACTAGCCCAGGTTGCTCCAAGCCCCCTCCAGCCTGGCCTTGGACACTTCCAGGGATGGGGCAGCCACAGCTTCTCTGTGCCAGGGCCTCCCCACCCTCACAGGGAAGAATTCCTTCCCAAAATCCCATCTAACTCTGCCTCACCTCAGAGTGAGCTGTTCTTAAAAACCCCAACAACACAGACAACCCCCCCAATCCCTCCTCTCTCTCGATATCTTTCTATGCAGAGCTTCTGAATAAGTCAAACTACATAAAACCAAAGAGAACACTCACAAAACTCCTGGATGAGGATGGATGTGAGCAGAGCAGCTGGGAAAGGGACGTGTGGAAGGGGCCAGAAGGCACCTGGGCTGCAGCAGAAGAGGTGGCTGGTGCAGGCCCAGCTTGTTCCTCTCCTCAGCTCCAATTTTAGGGTTCCCAGGGTAAGGCAGGAGCTGGAATCACCCCACCCCTGTTCCTGGAGGGTTGGCAGAGCCCTCGCTGCCCTTGGACACGGCACCTCCTGGCCCACAAGAGCATTAAAAGGGCTGGATCTTCCCAAGTTTCCTTCCCCCTCCTAGTTCCCCTGCCACTCTTCCCCAAGTTTGACTGCTCTAAAACATTTACAGATCTAAAAAGCAGAGAGAAAAAAAATGTTCACCTGTCGGGTGATATAAAACCAATCTTCTACTAAATGTGCCAGAATAATTTTTCTCCACCTCAACCACAGTTAAAACCTTCAGTCTATTCATTACTGTCTTTTTATAGTATTTTTATTTAATAAAACCTATTAAGACTACCATACAAATCTCTTTACTTATGCTTTTATCTTTTAACTGATCAATTTTTATATTGCTGACATCCCTTCTTCACCATTTGCTCATTTAAAAATTCATAGTATATGAGCTCTGTCTCTGGAGAAAACGTCTATAAAATTTGTTACAGCTGGCAAATGTGTATGAGTCAGTGATAGCACATGACTAAATGCTTCACAGAAAATAAAATTTGTTTCTGTAGTAAGCAGAACTGTTTAAATGTTATTTATTTTTATGTTTCAAAGAAAATATATTGTGAAGTGCTGCATTGATTTAATAGGCAGCAATGTCTGTGTACACGCTGTACCCGGGAAATTTATGAAACCTTTGCACAACTCCTTTAATTGAATTTTCCAAATCTCTCACCACACACAAATAATCAATATCTTCTGCAGAGAAAACCAGTCAGAATTATTACAGTCTTTCTTTTCAATTTTGTTGTCATCAGCACATACAGAGCACCTGGATATTTGTAATGTCTGGATGGCAAGTTATTTACACCTCTTAAACATATAATTGCTACTAAGTGAGTCCAAACTAATGTTTCTTTTCTTTTTTATTTAAAATAATTATATTCATGGGACAAAGCAGTATTTATTGTCGTGTAGGAGTTGCTACATGTAGCTGTTGGAAGAACTACAATTCTTCTGAATTTTTCATTAAGCTTAATACTCTCAACTAGATCCACTAGAATTAAAAATTAATAACTGTTGTGTCTCTAAGAAGGTAAATAGGAAAATAGAGAGTAAATATGAGTGGAAATCTCTGAATAAATGGGGCTGCCACCCAAATCTGAAATGCAGGGTGACAGTTCTGGATGTGCCCACACTCATATGTCTCACATGCATTTCTGGATCTGCCACAGCAGGTAATGGTTTAATATTTTATCTGCATAGTACAGGGTGTTCCATCACTGCAGCTCTGGAACCTGCTCCTTCCTTCCAGCCCAAAGCTCCTCCTCACACCCAGAGAGACTCCTCAAACCTCGGGCTGAACTCTCAAATATGGACTGTTATGGAGTGGGGGCACCCAACAGCTCCCAATCCTGCAGGGAAGGAGCAGTGGAAACCTCACCCCAGCTCCTCTGTCAGGACAAGACTCCTCCTTGTCTTAGGGAAAGCGCTGCCACTGCAGCTTTTGGGTACTGGGTGAGTGGGTTTTGTTACCTTTCTAGACTGGGAGGGACTTGCTTGGTCCCAGACTAAACCAGACCCACCTGCACAGACCAAGGCACGGGTGCAGCCAAATTCAGCCTGAGCAACAACAGTTTCTCATCCCCAGGATACAAAGCAGCCCACTCCTCTGGGGGCAATCCCACCCACACTTGTGAGGAACCGAGAGAACTTTGCCCTGTGTTGATGGTGGAAAAGCCTCAGGAGCACAAACTCGGATATCCTTCCCCAGGGAAGAGCAGCTGAACGAGGCCACGTCCCTCCAGCACCACAAAGCTCTGATTTCTTGGAGCTGAGTCCCAGAGACAGGACACAACACTCAGAGGGTTTCAGCTCCAAGGAATCATCTCCCAGTTGGAATGTGTGCTGAGCCTCTCCCTAATCTCTGCCTACACAGCCTGGCTGGGGCTGGGCTCGCTGAACTCAGTTGAACATCAAGCTTTAGAGTGTGTTTTTTCAGAAAATATTACTTTTTAATTCAATTCCTATTTTAGTTTCAGAACCTTTCTGACCAGGCCAAGAGGACAACTCATCTCCTGGTTGGATTACAAGTTAGGAGAACAGATGGCACCATCAGGGACGTGAACTCAGGGCAGACATTTGGGATGAGAGGCAAAACACCAAACCTGGCCTAAGCATTGAGTAACAATGTTTGCAAACACAACTCTAAGTCTCCATCTAATAATCTGTTTGAAAACAAGTCCTTCAGCATCATTTTTGTTCCTTTTAGAGCTGCTGTGCATCTGAATCACAATTTGAACACTAGAAAGCAGCTCAAGTTTCTGAATCAATTTAGTTGTGAACCTACTCAGTTCACTTAAGTTCCCAAGACTTACTTTTCCCAGCAAAGGGATAATGACATTTCTTCCCTGCAAGTGAATTCAAAGCTGGGCTGAGAAAAATAACCATGTTTTTTAAGTTAAGGTTTCACAGTCAGAAAAATTCACCTCAGCAGTCTGATGTATTCCCCTTTTCCCTAGGAGATCCCAAAGGAGGAGGAGGAGGAGAAGGAAGGATAGATGGGACAGACCCCAAGCATGTCTGAAGAGCAACAAATTTGTTTTACTTTATGTGAGAATGATGTAAAAAATAAATTGTAAATGTGACTTACCCTCACTGCCTTCAACCCACCAGCAGAGCAGACTCAAGGGGTTTAGTCCTAGGATACCCAAAGTCCAAACTCAAACTGACATGAATTGGGATAAATAGTGGAACATTGTATTTTTACCTTTTTATCTGGTTGGAGAAGGAACTCTGCTTATTAAGGAGGCTTCTGTATATTGCAGTTCTGCCATGGAATTTATGTTTTGCCATCTATCCAGTCTTCAAAAAACTGGATTGGTGAATGGGAACTCAGCTTTACTTCATCCCTGATCTCTCCAGCTTTGCTTTCAGTAGTGACTCCAAGTGGCATTAAATGAAAACCCGTCCAGTTGATCCTGACCCAGTCTCTTGGAAAGCCACCACTACTGATCCAAGAGTGCAAAAGTCAGTCCCTTGTACTAAAACCAGGATGGAAGTTGGGAATGTTTAGAACTAAACTCGGGGGGTGACTGTATTTCCCCCTGAGCTGGGCAGGATGAACAACACCATGGAAAGAAAGTATTTTGGATTTCATTGTGGCCTGAAAACAGTTTTCCCCAACACTGCAAGATCTGATCTGCTCTAACACTCCCTTGTTTCCCACGTGGACAGCGGATGGAGCCACGGATATGATTTCTGTCACTGGTTTTGGGAAGCAAAGTATTAGTGTAGTTTGTAACAACCAACCAAAGAGCTTTCCTGTTTGGAATCTTATCTTCACTCTCGGAATCTCCCAATTTATTAAACTTTCCTTTAAAATATGCACAGCCCAACCTACACAGCCATTCCCAGCATACACAGGGCATGGTTGGGACTGGGACACACCGACTCCATTTCATCTCTTGGCAGTTGTTTTACCATTTGCTTACTTTCTATTCCAAAACATTTTGTTTACTGTAAATTCCAGTCATGGCCAGACAATGCTGCCCTTTTTTCCTGCTGGTCACCCAAAATGATAAACTGAGCTCCACACAAGGCTGCCCATTGAGCCAGGAATGTTCTGGATGGAGTTGTTTTAAGAGGAGGTTGTTTATGTAAAGTAAATAAATTTCATGCCTCACCATGTGATGATAATGTGACATTCCCTGGGTACCAACCCACTGAACAGTCATAAGTTCTCAGCCTTGCCATAACTAATTAAAAATAATTCTGAAAAAGCCACATCCAAAACTAAAAGGCAAAGGAAAACATTTCCAAATGCTTTCCTTTGATCACACACTTCTCTGCCTCTCCTACAACTGCATTTTCAAGATTGCAAAATTGAATTTATTCTTTGTTAAAACAAAACTCACAGTGAAACTACATCAAAATTGGTCAACTTAAACTCAGAATTCTATTTTCCACCCCACTTTCATAAAGTATTTTTCCTCTAACAAGACTGGGTATGTGTTTGGTGTTAGAGGCTGGTTTTTAGAGCAAAGATGGAACTAAAAATGTGTATTAAAGAGCAGGGCACAAAGGAGGCAGCGAGTGTTTAAATCTGCACTGGCCCATGGCATTCCCATCACCGGGATCATTGGAACAGGAGGACACAGGGAGCTGTAAATCAGAAAGAGCAGACTGCACAAATGAGCCAAATTCCTTCCAAAGGGTTGTCACTCCTTTACATTTGGAGATAATCTGCTGGAGCCCAGGAAACCCAAGTTTAAGCAGTTTTCTTTCCTTTAAGAGAATTCCCCACAGCAGAGGGAATTTAGGCCTGAGCAGATCCAAACAAAAGAAGCAGCAGAGATGCCATCACTGCTTTTAATTCTGGTTTTGCTGTATTTTCAGACAGAATGTGTGAAGAGAACAGAAATATCAGAATATCAGTGGGGAAGTTGTTGATTTTACCGTGTGTGAAAGAAAACCCCAATCCTGTGTGTGTCCCCTCCTTCCTGCCAAGGCTCCAAAGTGGCCACCTGGTATTAAATGCCACCAACTTCATGGAGAAACACCCAATACAATGAAAAGAGCAGAAAATACTAAATTCGTGTAGTGGAAGTTTTCAGAGGAAACACATTTGATTCTCATAATTTTTTATAACTCCACGTTACCCAACTTATTGCAAGTGGAAAGAACTAAGAAGGAATCAACCAAAAGGAATCAAAACACGAGTTACACGGGAGTTACACGGAGTTTCTCACCTGGGGCAGGGAGTTTTCTATGGTTTGCTTTCAACAGCTGCAGCTCTTCTGCTTGACTCACTAGTGAAGAAATAAATCCCAAATCAGAGATTTCAAAGGAAATGATCCCTCTGCTGCCTTCTTCACTTTCAATGCATTTCAAGGAAAAAAGCCCTTACCTATGTAATTGTGCTTTAAAAAATTAACAAAAAGTTTTCAAAATTCAGATAATTTTGACAAGTGGTGCTTTCAGCCTCATACCACATTTTGTTGCCATTGTTTCCTGTGCTTTGTTCCTAATTGAGAGATGGGGAAAAGAGGATTCCTTCCCAAGGAGCTGACAGAAAGAGTGGACGAGACAGAGAATGTCAGCAGTAGTTCTGAGCTCTCCTCTGGGCTGTTGGACTGTCCTATCCAGAGCAGGGAAGGGAACACAGACCGTTTCCAGGGATTTTCCTTCTGTATAAGAAAGGCTCTGCCATTACAGAGGGAACAGTGCAGTGTATACACATGCAAAAGGATGTGTATTTCTTTCCTGAGGTGTATTCAGGAAAGAAATGGTAATTTAAACCTCAGGAAAGAAATGGTAATTTAAACAAGAGCAGCTGCTGGAATTGTGTGCATAAATTCCAATGCTCTGGGAAGAAGAATTCACTAACACCTGTTGGCTTTACTGTCCACCTGCTTCCAACTGCAAACAGAGCAGTTCCAGGTTTTGCTTCCCTATAGCTGGTTCCAGTGTTTTTACACTTGGCAGAAAACAGAGCAACGAGGCAGGTTAGAGAATGATGTCTGTTGGCATTTCTGGTGCAGGTTAAGAAACTATTTTATCACCTCTGCATGTTTGTCTGGAGAGTGGACACAGGGACTGGCTGTATCCAGGTATTGCTCATATTCCCTGCTCAGCTGGAGGCTGGCATGAGAAGTCTCCAAGAGCAATGTAAATGACCTGGAAAAGGTGACCCTGATTTCTTATCCCTGGAAGCCAATATCTCTGGTCTTCTGTAAATATCCACACTGTTTTTTTTTTTTTTTTCATTAGACTATTTCCCCATCACATCCTCCCCTTCTGGTTGGGAAGAGCAGGAGGAATGAACTTCAGAACCTCTGACTTGGAGGAAGGATAAAGAGTTTCCTAAAAATGGACACATATAAGTGAAAAAACTTCAGCTTTTCGGGTTCCTTTGGCAAAGTATTACAGATGTGCCATCTGGGAAGCGCCCTTATCCCAACACAATAAGCATCTGGAATGTCCATCATTTAAAGATACATGAATAGCGATTTTTAAAGCCTGGAAATCTACAATCAGCCTAATCCTCCTGCCAGGCAAACAAACAAACCAATTTCCTCGGAAGAAGAGAAGACAAGCAAAGCAATCCAAGTGCAAACGTTTATCCTAATTCCCAGCTAAGTACCCACTAAGTATCTAACTATTTACATGAGAAAAGGTGTTGCTTTTCCAAGTTTTCCCTCCCCATTCAGTTGGAAAAGCAGGACACGGGGCTGCCTGTCTTTTATGTCCCTGTTGGATGCACGAGGAGATTTAAAGCATTTTTCTTGACCAAAACAGAATCCTGGGCTCTGACACTCCATTATAACACCGGGAACCATCTGGAGTGATCCTCGTTCAGTGGATAGAAAGGGGATAAACAGATTGGAAACCCTCCTTACGCAGTGTTTGGGTTTTCTGCACTTCAGCACTCAGGGCACGAGAGGAGTCTGAGACACCGAGGATATTTTCCAGCTCTCTGCTGCCCTCCAAAGCCTGGAAAACAACAATTAAAGACACTGGTAAATCCCATTCCTAAACTATCTACTAGTTGTCTACAACTTATCAAAAACACCTGAAAGAAAGAACTTTTGGAAATTGCTAACAAATAAACATTTCAATTAAAATATTTCAAATAAATTCTAACAAATAAATTAATATTTTAAATTAGTGTAAGCCTTTTTTTTAGTAAATAAAACCTTGTCAGATCATATAAAATAAATCACTACAGTACTCTGAGTACACTGAATTATTTCCCAGCTATTGATATAGAGCAATGAACCTTCTGCTACATTCATTAAAAATGAAACAAAATGGGAATAAAACAGAAGAGTGATTTGCATTTTAACATGCATTAAACAAACTATTAAATGATGACATATTAGTGGTAAGTTAAATAGTACCATCACTTCATCAAAAAAGGGATATTTCATTTTTAAGGACACAAAAATCTATGTAGTAATAATTCATATTTCAAGTTATAAATAACAGTTGAGAACTACCTATGTTTTTATTTGTGAACAAAAGGAGGAGTGATACAAATTAAAAATGGTGGACTTGGAAAAGCAATTCTTCTAGTTTAAAAAATTTTTCTAAGTTCTGAGGTTTTTTGCATTTTCTGGATTTCCAAGTCAAACCTGCCTGGCTTCAAGTCTTTTATTTGCTTCCCTAAAATTTAAATGCTGCATATAAAATTTTAATTTTGATTTCAAATCCTGTATTAAAAGCAGCTAAAAGATAAATCAGTGTAAAGCAGACCTGGAGGCTCGTGAGATTTGCTCTTATTTTCAGAATTCTGGCCAATGAACTTCTCACTTGGGACTGCAGTTTCAGGAACCTGGGTCCAGAAAAAGTAAAACAAGTCCAATTACTCTAATCACCACTCACTGAAATTCCATGTTTGCAATGTTTCCCAGAGTTTCTTCCCAATGGAATCAGGTTGGATGCAGCTCAGTGACCTGTAACACCAAAACCAACCTGCCTTTGGTTGGGATTCATATCCCAACCGCCAAAAATCCCTATATCCTAATTTTAAGGATAGGAACTCAGGTTCAGCAGTATCAGAGGATTTTCTTCAGGATTTGCACATTAAAAAAATTCCTGCCATGATAGTTTAGGGTATTTTCTCTTTGAACCACTTAAAGATGCAAATCAAATAATCTATTTACTGTTTCCTCTCACAGAAGGGAGAATTACCCTCATAAAACCCTCAAATTTAGGAACAGAGCTACAGTATGGAAATGTAGAAAACTACATTTCCATATGGGAAAAGAAAACAATAATAGCAGTGTATTGGACTATATATTTTCCACCTGTGAAACTCAAGTGTCTGGAAGTTCACATAAATATCAAGTGTAGGTGTTGGTTTATAAATGTTTTTAGTGGCAGGTCAGTAACTGCTGGTCTTCTGCAAAGCTTTTAAAAATATACTGAATTACTGAAGGCAAACATTTACATGTTAATGAAGGCTCTGATTACTCCAATTGTTCTGTAGTTCAGGGTTCTGTCACCAAGAAATGAGTTGCCCAAAGGAATTGCTGAACCACCAAAAAAGCCCTTTAGTCAGTTTAGTTTACCACTGGTATAATTTTAATATTTTATTTTTCACTATGTAACATGTCACCCAAACAATTCTGTCAAACTCCATCACTCAGAAAACACCGTCCTACAAGGAAGGAATTTCAAGCTCATGGTGGGGGAAACATCCATGACAAGGAAAAAGCCCAACAGATAAATTGAGAGCTCAAAAGGAAGAGCTACAACTTCAAACACGACATTTAGTTCAATAATGCCTATCGAGGAAAACAGCCCATCACACACCTCACCTGAAACATTTATTTAAGTGCTTTACTAACTGGGGATTGCCCCAAGTTCATTAATGTCAAGAAATTTATACCTTAAAATTAGATTGTGGCAGAAAAGACGAGAATTGTAAAAGATTTTGCATTAATTTACACCTATAACCATTCAGTGCCTTTGAATATCTAATCCTGTGCAATCAGAAGCACTAAAAATAATGGTTATTAATTGAATTCTGTGTGAAATATGAAATAAAAATCACTGCCCCCATGACAAAGTGAACACATTTGATGCACTCACCCATCCTGCTCTGTTGGAGGCTGCCCTCTCCTGGATAATCCAGTGTGGGAATTGCTCTGCTCTCTCCCACCTCCTCGGAGTTCACAAGGAAGAAAAGAAACAATAAAGATAAAAATAAGATATTTTCTATTTGAAGCACGTGAAGTAGGTGTCACTATGAATCTTGATTTTAGAATGATCTTTTAGGAAGAGGGGAAAAAAACCCCCAAACTCACTTGGAAAGCAGGACAGATCCCCTGGAATGAACCACACTAAATTCACTACAATTTACACTTTTGTAATTTGAGCTCTCATCTACTCACTTTACATTTATATTCCTGGAAACCTTGGGATTAGAGTATTAATAACTGGAAGTTGGGATAATTCTGGCAATCCCAGATCCCACCCTGTGGAAAGAGGTGCTTTTCACATCTCTCTGTAATAAACCTTCCTGACATCAGACTAAAAAAGGGAGGCCACGCTAAGCATTAAACACTTCGATTTCTTATTAAATTTGAATTATTACACACAAGTATCAGCACTCAAGGATGAATCAACTTTTAATTTTTATTTTGTAAAACACTTAGAAATATCTCAGAATGACAAAGTGCTATACAAGTTTAAGCTGTTCCAATACAGCAGCTGAAGGTTAAGACCCTCAAAGATTCAATTTTAAATCTAAGTAGTCAATAGAACTTGAACTTAATTTTGTAGCAATTTTTGTTCTGTTGTTTTCTTACATATTGGTCTCAGAAAAACAGAATATTGATTAAAGTGTAACACCTCAAAGGTGATATCCAGAACCTATTAAAGCACCACAGCTCTTAAAATAAAAGTGTTTTTTCAGAAGGAGAACAGAGATTGTGGGTTTAAAAGGACACCCTGAAACCTGTGATTTAATAATTGTATAACACCATTTTGTACCTATATGAACACAGGAAAAAAAGAGCTGGTTAGTGCTACATTACTGAGTAATTATCCATCTAAATGTCAGCTCTGCTCATGTGATCAGGCTTTTTATAGGCAAAAGGAATGTTCCCCTATGTCCATCCTTAATATCAGGCTGGAAATACACGTTCACCTTTCCCACTGACATCCTAATATACATTTTAATTCAAGACATTTTGCCCCCGTTCTACTTTCACCTGAGAGATAAGGCATCATCTAATTCAAGTGCAGAGAGGCTGGGAAAGTTTGAAAAGTTGTAGTAATTTAAACATTTGTGTGTCCTCATGAAAATTAACAGTTCATTAAAGCAGGTAATAAGGATAGTCAAGAGAACATATCTAGAGAGCTACAGATTTTTAATTTTAACTGCTATCATTATATACAATTTTAAAAGCTTTTGCAAAGGTAAGGAGAACAACTAATGGCAACTCTTCTTGTGGAAAGGTTTCTTTGTACAGGGTGAAGAGATTCATATTTACCACCAAGTACTACCAAATCTAAAGCATTCAAACACAAAATTTCCTTTCTGCTGATAAAAGCAGAGACTGACAGAGAAATCTGACCTGGGAAATATTTGAAAATACCTTTCTCTCTGTAGGAAAACAGAGTAGATAAATTTAGATGCCAAGGACATAAGTTCCCTAATAAACAGAGTCAGGAAGCTGCTCACTGGAACAGTTACTTTTCACAGCAAGAAGAAAGTTGGAAACCAGTGGGTTTGGATTCCAAGAAAAAAATGCAACACATAACCAGGAGTATTTGTGGAAACATTTAAGACACAGCTTTAATGCAACTTTGTTGAAGAGGAAAATAATCCCAAAGAGAAACTGTTTAGAGTCTTTTAAGATGGCAGGAGTCAGCACCTAAAGAGCTGATTAAATGTCTCTTGAAGATTTTGGGATGCGAAGGAAGTGGGAGCATGGATATGCCCACCATGCCAAATAACCATCTTTTCAGGAATCAAGAAGAAGCCACTTAGTTTGAGAGGAGGAATTGCTCACAAGACAGGGTAGGCCCTGTGACAAAGACAGAGGATTGCTGCCTCCATCCCAGACCTGGAAGTACATAATGCAGGCCTTGCATTGCAAATCCCAACACAGTTCCTAAAAGGCCACAAAAATAAAACACATATCAGCTGATAAATCTTCAGTTTTGTGGAAGCAAGACTGTCCTTTCAATAAATGAGGTTTCCATGACTGGTTGAGACACACAATCACTTCTTCCCTGTGGCTCCCTGACACTTAAAGAGATCACCCCCACAACCTACAGAGCCATAAAAGCACGTCAGGCCACTGAAAATCCACTTCTTGAGCACTCGGAGCTTGCACCAGAAACTGTGACCGTGGAACTAAGGGGGTGTAAATCCCAAAGGGAACTGGAAATAATATAATTATAAAAATAATTATATATTTTCTGAAAGCTAATGACATTCAGTACTATGTTCATTAAAAATTGCCTTGAAGTGCCTTACCATGAAAAATAAAAAATACACAAAATAAAAAAGGACTTTGCTAACATGCCAAACCAGGGGAATTAATGGAATTATTGACAAAAATGCCAGTGTGGAAGTTTTTTACTGAGTCAAAGCCAAACATTTTTAATACTGAGCAACAGAAAGCAAAACTTGCCTCATAAACAAGTTGTTTCATAAACACTCCCAAGATTTAGACTGAAAAGATTCAAGCTTTAAAAGTCAACATCAGCTTTTCCAAAAGACATTAAAAATTTTTAAGGTGAAAAAGGAAACAAACATAGTACAGGAGAGACAAGTTACTAGGTTAAGCCAATAATCAGGAAAATATTGTATTAAGAAAGAGGGAATGTTCAACTAACCTTTTGCTGGGGGGTTCCCGGGATTTTGTTCCTTGTGGCTCACAGGGGATGAAAAGGGACTCATCTGGCGTGTTCCTGTTGTTGGGGAGTAAGAATTCAGATTTTTGTTTCTGATCTTCTGAGGTGTTGCATCAGATGGCTGAAATGCAGCAAAATACAAAAATATCGAGATTAACACTGATAAAATCTCTCTGAACATTTACCATCTGGTAAGAGGTTCTCCTCAGTAATTCCTAACTTTATGTACTCCCATAAATTGGAAGCCCATGTTGTATGTTGTGGTGGGTTGCTCTATCACTCCCCCTCCTCATTAATATTAGTTTTACTCTAAAAAAATAAAAGCTCCTTTTTCCATAAAGAAAAGTCTGTGTTTTCCAGAGATTTAGGTATCACCTGGTTGGTTGGTTTGGGTTTTCTAAAGCAGCCTAAACCTGATATTATTTTTCCTACAGTATTAAGAATTTAAGACACGTAAGAACTATAAGCAACTATTTTTAGATTTTAATTGCATCAAAAGATAGTTATTTCTAATGATTATCTACACAAATGTTAATTTAAAAAATCCCAAGTAAGTTCCTTAAACCCCAAATTTTGTGTCTGGTTTAGGATTTCAATATGTCTAATGGCAGCGCTGGTATTGGTCATTAGTAATATGACTTACACCACATTTTGAAATGTTTAGTTTGCTGCCCACTCACCTCTGTCTTGTTTTAGCCTCAAATACTCTAAATAATTTCACATCAGCCATCTATGCTCTTGTCTACCAGTACTGACACAACACCTGATGGAAACGCTCAGTCTGTTGCCACTGTCTTGCCACATCCAAGCAGGTTAAAGAAATGTTTCAAATGATCTTTAAATGAAATATTAATTTAAATATCAATGCCAATTTAGGCACTTACATGTCAGCAAATCTCCAATCTGCTCACGGTTTCAGGATATTTTTCCTGCTTGAACAGCAGCCACCTCTGGATATGGATAAGCACATCCACATCTGAGCAACTACCTGGAGGAAGTTACTGTTGTACTTACAAGGACAGTATTTATTTGGCAGTAAGAATTTCTCCTCCAGTTATGCAATTTTTTAATGATATCATGCAAACATTCCAAAATCTAAAAACACTGATTTTTGATCTTTAGTTCATAGGTATTTTAACCAGGAGGTGGAATGACGGACTCCTGAAAAATAGGGAATGAACTGTAGAAACAGCAAAGATGAAACAGATGCTTCAATCAAATAATGTGTGTTTACTACTTTATGTTCCTTCCTACCTTCTAAAAAGTTATTTAATTATGGCACACTTTAAATCTCTGACATGTCATTAGAGGCACCGTATGAACTAAAAATCAGTGTAAACCCACATCACTGAGCTCCCACTGAAAGTTTTGATCACTCAGATGGGCTTTTGTGAAGCTTTTTGCTACACAAAACCTGAATGCAGGTAACCATCCAATAACTCCTTTTAGCTCATCTGCTTTAAGGCAGAAAAAGAATTCCATGGAATTTCAGCTGGACCACTCACCTACAAAAATGTTACCACAGCCTAAGAAACAGATGCAAAATGACACTCACAGCTGCACTGTGAGCAGAACAAGTTGGGTAATGGTACACTAAGCTGCTAATTAAATTGCTAATGATTTTTTTTTAGTGCCACTGCGGTATTTTGCCACCTTTGTTTAAATTTATAAAAAAATATCTAGAAAAATTTTTTAAATTGTGAATTTCTACCTTGCTAAACACCAGTGAGGCCTCCAAAGATGTGCTGCATGGGAGCAAATCTCTTCACAATGGCACAGAGATGGAGATTTCCTGGGGGCTCGTTTGCTGATCAGTTATTTCCCCCTGTACTTTTCCCAAATTTTCCTTCCTTTAAAGCCTGCCATCCTCCCAAAATCCTCTACAGCAACACCCACCGTGGTAGGAGAGATAATAAACCCACATATGTCCCACCATGCTGGGACTGGGAGGACGCTGGAGCTGCATTTACAAAAAATAATAGCACCAGTACAATTTTATTTTCATTGTGATAACTGGGGTGAAATTTATGGCACTGTTTGTACTTGATTGTTTCATTCTGCCAGATTAGCTGAGGGAGGTAATTACAGCTCTGACATGAAAATGCCTTTGATGTTTTCATTTCAATTTTGCAGTTTGTAATATGCAGATTCCAGCATTGCCATAATTCCATATTGTTCCATGTACAATTACAGGGCAGAGCATTTGCTCCCCAGGATAATGGAGCTAATTTTTAATAAATTATTTCACCAAGGATCTTAACTCATTCAGCTCTTGGGTAAATAGTGATGGCAATAACAATGTGCATATTTTTCAAGTGATTCATGCAGAGGTACATTACTTAACACCAGGCAGTTCTGTGACAAATGAAATACTATCAATTTTATACTATAATATTTGTCAGCAGTAATTTTGTGCCTTAGGATTCTCCCAGACAACAGCCAGTCTGTAACAATATAAATGCAGCTCTAATGAAACAGCACGTTTATACACACATAATTTTTGCACACAGATACATACACATATAAATATATATATACATCTATAGAAACACACACATATAGATATAAATAGATAGATAGATAGATACATATAAACTGATGGTTCCACACACCAAAAAATACTTACATTATCTTTTTTGACAGTGTCCAACTTTAATGCTCTCTTAACTCTGCAAGAGAAAAATATGGACAAGTTTTATGGTATCTAGACACAAAGATGTCTTTTAGAAACATCTATAATTGATATTTTTAAAGACAGTTTCCTTTGTTGTGTTTCACATTTACACAGGAAAACAAATGTCATCCAAAGCAAATCTATTAACTGATTAAAATACTGTGTACCAAGAACATTGTTTGTTTAGAAGGATAAAGTGTTTGCATAAGAAAACCTGATTCTCCATTTTATAATAGAGATAAAAATCAAGACACTGAAGCGAAATCACACTGAATATTTGCTTTTTCCCCAAGATATAAACACCAAAAAACCCACAAAAGCCTTTTCTTTTACATACCTTGTGAGCAAGGGTTGAAAGGATTTTGCCATTAGTTGAAATAATGCATAAAGCCATTTAAAATACAGGTACAGCCAAGGAGAAAAAAGTAGTTTTTCCCATCATTTTAGCTCTTAACATGATTCAGTGCTGCCAGACTATGACTTAACAGGGGAACAGATGCTCTATGTCTTTACAGGTCCCCAAACCATAAGAAACTATTTGCTTCCCTTCTTCCTTCTCCTGATTCAGGAACATGCCAAGCTCTCTCTGCAAAATCTGCTCTGCTGAACTGGATGCCCAGCTGTTAATGGCAACACTGGAAGGGGAAAGCTGAATATTTATAATACTTTATATGGTACAGCTGTCTGCTAAAGAGCAGTCATCAAAATTTTATTGAAGGCAGGCTAAATGCTCCAAGGAAAGAAAGGTCAACATAAATTAAGACTATTTTTCCCACAGACAACTGAAAGTTTTTAAGCACGCTCCTAAATCTTGGTCTAAACCACGATATAAAACAACAAGAAACAAAAAAATCTGTGTAAGAACAGTCCCCAAGAAATGTATATATTATATTGAATTAAACAGGATTTGCAACATACATCATATTTCAAGAACTTGGTTCAGTTTTCATCTTGGAAAAGAACGTTTTGCCTTGTAAGGAATTAAGATGACCTCATTCCAAACATACCCTTTTTAAATTTATGCTGCTGTAAATTAAAGACAATAGGAATGGAAGCACATCTTTGATATGTAACTCAGGTAAGGGTCTTATATGAAAACTGTTTTACAACCCTCTCCATTTCAAAAAGGGGAAGAGAACGTTCTGTCTTAAAAATGCCAAAGGAACAGGTAACATTAAAATTAAAAAAGCCTATGAAATTCTGGCCAAGGGGCAGTGAAAGCTGTAACAGTTTGATGGAATTCTTTACAATGTATTTCTTTTTTAAAGAGAAACCCATATTGAAGGAATCCTGACTCCATTCCACCTTCCAGCCCATGGCAGCAGGGAAATATCCTATTTATTAATGGAGAGGATGCTCTGGGGGCCAGTGCATTTGCATGTTGTACCAAGGCGTGTGATGATGGAAGATTTTATGACTGAAAGGCAAAGTAAAAAGCAGGATCTGGACTCAGCACAGCTGTAGGATGAAGAGAAATGAGAAACTAAGTGAAAATCCCATTAAATTACAAACATTGAGAAAAATTTCTTAGGGGGAAAGTTGTGGACTGATCAATGGTATGTTCTTTGGAGTCTGTCAAATATTGTGGACAGGAACAGAGAAGCCCAAATTTCTCTCTGCTGGCCTCCAAAACCCCTGCAAACTCCCCAGATTATGGGGGCAAAGCTGGAGCCTCATTCTAAGCACTTAAACATTGGAAAGGGCTGGAATATTACATTGGAAGACACAATTTTAGCTTTAGACAACCTTTCCTTGTGTTTCCCAATCCATCCTACACAGCAGCCTCGTTTGCTTGTGGCTGTGTTTTTACTGTTTGTCTTTTCAATGCCCTAATGTGAGAAGTTACATCAAAATCATTTAAAATTTGTGCTCCCTGCCTTGGACTCTGAAACCAAATTCATCCCCACACCCAACACGAAAACCCTGTTGGCCAAACTGTCTTCCCTCTGATCTTCCAAAAGGTGAGAAACCAATACATGCAAACAAAATTCCTGAAGTATTTTAGGGAACAACACGAAGAGCAGCCATTCTAGTTTGGGTTATCTTTTTTATATGGCTGGAAAAGCCTCACTTTGGCTCCAGTGTAGAACCAAATGTCAGACTGTGAACAAGAAAAGGAGATGGAAAGATGAGGTACATGAGGTGACAGCATTTAACAACTCAGTCTGAGTTTTCTACCCTTGAATTGTAGCCTGACTAGACTTAATTTATTTTCTTGACCATGCAGAGTATGACAGCACATGTTTCCAGCCAGCTGTCCAACCTGAAATGATTATTTTGCCCATAATATTTATCAGGTTAAAGAACTTCACTTCCTCTCCTTTATAATTTATGAATGAATGCAACAGCAACAGCCATGTCCAAGGTTAATGCACAAAAAACCCATAGAGAATCAGGGATTTGATCATATTATTTCATTATTTCATTTCAGGTTATTGTAGCGCATTTTGAAGCCACTTCAGTTTGCTTCCTCTTTAGGTTCTACTTTTACTGGAGAAAAAAACAAAGCACCTCTCTGCTCTTTACATATTGCTCCATCTTCAAATGTGCCAGTGAAAATGCCATTTCAATTGGAAAAGCAGAAAAAAATCCTATAATTTCCTATGTTCAGCTTAAATGGTGGTGAAACTCAGTGTGAGAGAAGCCAACAAAACAAACAAACAAAAAAAACCAAAATTTGTGTATTGTTAAGTTTCCTTTGTATTTCCTTTGTATCCTGCCATGACTACTACAGATTCCATGGTCAGGACTGGCAGAGGTTGGAACCTTTGGTAGCTTTAATATTTACCTTTGAAATCCATAAGGAGTTATAAACTGGGATAATATCCCAAGCCTGTATGGAGGCATCATGGATCTTACGGCCTCACCTTCCTGCTGTTGAAGTTGGTAACACCTTTTGCACCCCTATCTTTTGTATCCAAATCCTTTGCACACCTGACCCTTCAGTATCCCGTCTCCATGTAAATCATCCTAAAGGGATTCTGATCCTATTTTCTTGTGTATGTTTCATCTATGTAGTAATAGAGTGAACCTTGCTGCTGAACTCCGTTAAAGTCACACTTTCATAAATCCATATTAAAACCTGCTTTTTGCCAATCCCTTCAAGGGAGGGGTCAGAGGATGGACCAGGCTCTGTTCGGGGGTGCCCAGCAATGGGACAAGAGGCAATGGGCAGAAACTGATGCCCAGGAAATTCCACCCGAACATGTGGAAGAAACTCTTTCTAGTGCAGCGACCGAGCATGGGGATTGCCCAGAGAAGGTGTGGAGTCTCCCTCACTGGGGATATTCCAGAACTGGAGCAGGTGACACAGGAACGAGTCCAGGTGGGTTTGGAACGTCACCAGAGAGGGAGATTCCAATGCCCTGCCTGGGCAGCTGTTCCTGTGCTCTGCCACCCTCAGTGCGAAGTTGTTCTTCCTCGTGTTGAGGTGAAACTCTCTGTGTTTTCGTCTAAGACCATTGTTCCTTGTCCTGTCGCTGGGCACCACTGAAAGGAGTCACCCCGGCCCCCTTCGGAAATAGAGAACACAGAGAGTATCACCCGCAGCAACATCACCCACCCAACCCCGCCAGGGGAACCGCCATCGAAAGCATTCCCCGGTCCCTGTTTTCCTCTGGAAGCAAATCCCGCCCTGTCCCCAGCCGCTCCTCCCCTCTCCCGGACGACCCTCGGCGCACTTTTCCCCCCAGGGAAGGGGCTCGGGAGCCGCCGCTCGGCGGGAGCCGTGCTCCCCTCACGGCTTCCCGCCCTCGGGATCCGCCCCGCCGCCGTGAGGGGAGGGGAGCGGAGGGAAAGGGGAGAGGGAAGAAGAGGAAGAGAGGAGGAAAGGGGAGCGGAAAGGGGAGCGGAAAGGGGAGCAGAAAGGCTCCGCTCGCCCCTCGATACCCACGACATCCCGCCGCCGCTCCCGCCGCCTTCTCGCAGCTCCCGCCGCCTTCTCGCAGCTCCCGCCGCCTTCTCGCAGCTCCCGCCGTGCTCCCGCCAAACGCCGCCGGCTGGAAACGGCGCCGAGGGCGGGCCGGGCCGGAGCAGGGCGGGGGAGCCCCTCAGGGCTGCGGGGCCCAGGCCGGGGCCGAGTTGGGCTCGTCGGGCCCCGCCGTGCGCGGTACGAGCCGGGCCGGGGAGCTTCGGGCGGGAGGTTCGGGGCGGCCAAACGCACCTCAAGGGTCCCCTCAGAGGCCGCCTGGGGAGGGCGGAGGGAGGGAGGGTTGTTGGTTCCCCTCAGATGCGCTGGGGGAAGGAGATTGTAATGTTTTCTACAGTGGGGGGTAAATTTAGTCCTTGAAAGGGGCTGCGCCCACCCGTGAGGGAGGTGACGAGATCCATGAGGTAAAAGTTTCCTCGTTTCAGGTGGGCGAGGCAGGAGGAGGGCGAAGCTTCCCTGTGCAGGCGTGCATGCTCTATGGATGAGCCTCGGTCCTGAAGGTCAGTGTTGTCGTGAGGGGTCTGACTTTGTATAAATAATTTCTTCACATAAAGGGTGTTCAGGCATTGGAAGGGGCTGCCCAGGGAGGGGGTGGAGTCTCCATCCCTGGAGGTGTCCAAGGAACGACTGGACGTGGCGCTCAGTGCTCTGGGCTGGGTGACACGGTGGGGATCGAGCACAGGCTGGACTCGATCCTGGAGGGCTTTTCCGACCTCAGTGATTCTGGGATTCTGTGATTCAGTGACTAAATTCCTGTTTGGAAGATGTTTTTTATCTGTTAGAATCATACGACCAAAAATCAAAAGTAGTAGTTCTTGTGTCATCTTCCTGTTCTGTAGAATCACAGACTGGTTTGGGTTGGGAGGGATCTTAAAACCCATCCCATTCCACCTCCTGCCATGGGCAGGGACACCTTCCACTATCTCAGGTTGCTCCAAGCCCCATCCAACCTGGCCTGGAACACTTCCAGGAATGGGACAGCCACAGCTTCTCTGGGCAACCTGTGCCAGGGCCTCACTACCCTCACAGGGAACAATTTCATCCCAATATCCCATCTAAACCTGCTCTCTCCCAGTTTAAAAGCCTGGCCCAGAATGCTCCCCTCCACCTATTTTGTCTATAGTGTCATTTATCCTGTAAAAATGTCCCAGCGCAAGCCATGGGGCTGCTGGCAGTGCTGTCACTGAGCCATTGCTCCCTGGATTTCCCTCAGTGGATTGGTAGCACTTCTTGGCAGACCTGTGGCCCACACAGGAAATATCTCAGCAATGGGAAGTCCAAGGAGCACAAACGAGAGTTCGCATTTTACAAACTAGTTACTGGAAAATTAACATTTATTCTTCTTTTCCTCCTTGACTTTCCCCCCAGTTCCATTTTGAGTGTGTAACACTGGTGCTTTATTATAGTGATACCCGTTTGCAGGAGCCAGACTGTGGCAGGGGGTCCCTGTGGGGTCTTTCTAGTGCCTGTGTAATATTAAAGTGTCAGGCAGGCAGGCTGGGTATTACAAATAGGGTACTTCATCCATGAGAAGAGATTATTATCTTCCTTTCCCAGGTGTAAAAGACCTGTATAACTCACCAAGGTGCAAGTGATTTAGGCCTCCCGAGTCAAAATCCAATGAGTCCTGAAGGGGACCCTCTGATGTCGTTGTCTTGTTGCTGAACTTGAGCTATTCCATTTATTATACTGGAATATATTTTCTGAAGTCAACATTGGGTAAAATAATACGAGAGGCTGTTAGAGCAACAGCAAAACAGGATTTAGTGGCCCTCTGTGGTGGCCTTCTAAAAACCTTAATCACCCTTGGAAAAAGCAGAAAGCTGCTGTTACCATTTACTGGCCATTGGTGAGCAAACAGCATCAGTTACTGCTTGGAACTGTTTTAATAATTGAGGAAAAAAGCGAGTTTCATGGTTTTTTCAATTCATTAACAATTATATAGTCTAAGTTGCTCAAAGTTTTATGCATATTCTTAAAGTTTTATGCACATCTGTTTTTATTATTTATATTTGGATAGCTCTTAGAAGTAGAATTGTGTGCTTGACTTGGCATATTTGAAAGACTAAGGGTGACGGTTTTGATCAGTTTTGCTTTTATCCACATGTTTTATTGAGTTACAACTGCAAGAAGAGAAAGCATGGATAGCAATGGCTTGTTTCACAGATAACGTGAAAAGGTGTTTTTATGCTTTCAAAAAACATGATTATATAATATTTGTATTATCTAACATATATTAGATAATAATTGTAATGTCAAACGTCTGAAAGTAAAATAAATTACCATAAAATTAAACTTTTTTACTGCCAGTGAAGAATAAATTGTGAGTTAATAAGTAGAGCTCAAGCTTTTTTTTTTTGTGGATCTCATGGTGCTACCTACAAGTGTAGACAGTTATTCCCATCCCAGATTGAGTCAATGGGAAGGATATCACCTGAATGTTAGGATAACTGGTGCCAGTCTGTGTTTCACAGGACAAACAAAGCCATTATTAAGCAGGGAAACGGTAACAAATTCTAACTGTAATTGTGCCCTTCACAGGATGGCCAGCAGTCCCAGGAATAACGCTTCCCTCTCCGTTCAGAAAGCCACACAGGTGGAATATTCCCAAGGGAAGAAGTCCCAGCATACAGAAGAAGCAAACTTCTACATGAACTGCAGAGCAGCTTATCTGACTGTTCTGAAAAGCAGCTTGGAAAATATCAAATCCAGAGAACAGCTCAGCCTAGGTAATGATTTGATCCTTTTCCCTGTACCTGTTGTGTGGGATGGGGACAGTGGGTGGTGTACAAGCAGTTCAGCACTGAGAGTATCCCAGTGCATAGGCTCAGTAATAGTTTTAAGGAATTCACAGTAGTTTTGGGTAAGGTTCAGATTTCAATATCTTTGAAGACATTTTCCTGTTGTAAAATATCACATAGTGATTTTTCAAAGTTTATAGGAACTGCCGTTCCTCAAAGTTTTTCATTTTCCTCAAATCCTTAATCTTTGTTGCTGGGTGTTGGATGACTCATGGAAGTGGGAATATCAGACAGAGCTTTTTCTCTGTAAATCACCAGTGTGAGTGCTCTCAGTTCAGTTTAGGCTGGGCAATTGCCCTGGCACAGAAAATCACCATAACTGATATTCCATAGGAATTCTTACTCTGTATTTCCACTCCTACTGAGTTAGGATGCTTCCACAGAATGAAATAAAAAGTTTTCATTTTTTAATCCAGACTGTATTTGTGTCAAAGTAGTTCCTGTCAGCAGTACAGCAGGAAAGAAATCTCTCTGGCTGCTTCAGCTGCACTAAATAAAGCTGTTGGTAGAATCTGACTGTACTTCTGTGTTACACTGGTTGGAGCTTCTTTCCCTACAGCAGTACATGAAATCCTACCCATCAGCAGGCACATTCTTACAGCATGTGACTTAGTGCTCTCCAGGCTTCCTCAGCTGTAATAAAAGTGCCTTTATAACATCCTAATGATAGTTTAGGATAATCTGGATTTTAAGATAGGGGTGGTGTGAACAAGTGTCATCTCTTTAATATATGCTTTGGCTTTCATCTCTATCCACGTGCCACTCGGCTCCATAGCAAGTGTTTGGGCAATTTGGTTTCAAGGTTAACTTTGAGAGGGCAATTAGTCGCTCAGGCTCCCAGTCTTTTCAGAAGTATTTAAGAACTTGTGTTAGAATTTGTAAGCATTGAGAATTATAGAATTATATTGCATCTTAATTCTGGCATTTCTCAAATGTGCTAATGTTTAGACATCTCTTGCTACATGATGTTTGGCTGATACTCTAAACTGTAAAGTATTGAACTTAGAGATTGGCCCTGTGACATTTTATTGCTAGGAGTTTTGCTTATTCACAAATGGTAGCTTCATTTCCTGTGCATTGTAATAATACTGAGGTTATTTAGCAGAATCAGTCCATAAAGAAATATAAATAAAAGGTGCAGGCTAATTGAATTTTCACAAATGCAGACTTGGGAGGCAGGTAGGGTATGGCAAGTGCTGGTCTCCCTGGATATATAGAAACACAGAGTTGTACATTAGAAAGATAATCTGTTAAATGTAAGTAAATACTGTGCTATGCTGACATTCCAGGGAACTCTGCTATCCACAGAAACAACCACACAGAATAACTGCCCTTCCTTGGCTGACCTTGACCGCAATCTCCAAACAATTGCTTTGTGCCCAAGTGTGGCACAGATGAAGGTATAAACTGTGCTGTGTCCTCCTGGCGCTGCCTGCAGAGGTGACAGGGCAGAAATCTTTATTTAGTCCTTGGCATTCAGCTGCAGATTAGCAACAAAGGTGTCTGGTTTTGTTTGTTTGTTTTGATGGTGACACAGTTGCCCACCGAGCATTGTAACAATGCCACCCCCTCATTTCACAGATGGTCCTGGGCAGTTCTCAGCACAGGCCTGGTCAGTGCTCAGCTGGCTCAAAATCAAATGTCAGCCCAGGTGGAGATGAAGGATCTCTTGTGCTTCCCTAAAAGACTTGATTATATGGCAAGATACAGAGGCATCCCTCTGGATTCACACAGACTGTTCATTTGAGTTTAATTTCAA